TCCCCCACCAGCACCCCCAGGGCYTTCTCCCAGGGCTGCTCCATCTGCTCATCCCCAGCCTGGACTGATCCAGGGGCTGCCCTGACCCAGGGGCAGCACCAGCACTTGGCCTTGTTGAACCATTGTCCCCATGGGCCCACTTGGTCTTGTCCATGTCCCTCTGGATGGCATCCCTGCCCTCAGCCCTCATCTGGGGCCTGACTTCTGCTCTGTGCCTGCCATTCAGGATTCCTGCTGGAATTGTAAGCAAGTTGCCTTTCTGTGTTAATTTTCCCAGCTGGGAAGCTCTGAGGGGCAGGGGCAAAACTTGCTGAGTTTCAAGAGCCAAGTCTGGTTTTGAGCTGGGGTTTTGTTTCGTGTTTAGGGGTCCTGCTGTCTCCCTTCAGGAGACTGTTCCACAGCCCAAACACACCCAGCCTGGAGGCACTTCCTTAATATTCAGCCCTGTATTTCTTCCTCAGAGCAGTTGGTGTGAGATCACTTGGTTGCATTTTTATTTATTTTTTTTTTACAACATGCTCTCCAGGTACCCAGAGAAAGTTGTAGTTCCCTCTGCTGTAGAGGCTGCCAGGCCTAGGCTTTTCTAAATTCACCTTCTTTTCCTGGTTACAGCTGCATCTCAACCAGAAGTCAATCCCATCTTCCTTGTGTGAACATCTTCCAAACCTTGACAGACTGCAGGGGTTGCCAGATAAAGCCTGGGCACTGCAGGGCTTGGATGTTTTCAGCCCAAACAGGCCCTCCAGGCCCCCAAGTGTTCTGTGTTATTTTCTGAGCAATCTTTTTTTCTCTCCACGAACACATTGTTCCAAACACAGCCAGTTCGGGCACATTTTTGGAAGACACAAAGCAGGGACAGCAAGCACACTGTCACTGGCTTCTTGATGTGCAAAAATCAAAATGATCTCAGGGTTTTCTATAAGAGTCTGGAGTCTACTCCAGCTCTGCTTTCACCCCCAGGGCTTTGCTTTCCCCTTCAAAGGCTTTTCTCTGTTCAGAACTGTTTCAGGTGCAGGTAGACAGTGGCTGTCCACCCCCCAGCTCATTTTCTGCTGCAAACACACTGTCTCAGGAGGGCCAGAAGTCTCTGGCTTTCTCTGGGACCTGCTCCCTGTTGCAACAGGTTTGCCCCAGTGAAAACTGCACCTTCTTAGAGCTGTCCTGAGGGTCCCACGACTGTTCCTGCCCCACAAACAGCCACGCCATGCCTTGATCCCTCTGTGTGTGGCTGAGAGCAGCTCCCCTGCTCTGCTGGGAGCATTTTCCCAGGTGTTGATCCTACATCCTTGTGTTCAGCTGCAGAGGGTGCAGACTGAAAGGGGTTTTGCTGAAGGGGGGCTGTGAAACAACCTGGACTTACAAGATCCTTTCTGTCCACAGGGCAAGTTCACCACGGCCAGCGACGTGTGGGCCTTTGGGGTGACCCTCTGGGAGATGTTTGTGCTGTGCAAGGAGCAGCCCTACAGCCTCCTCTCGGATGAGCAGGTCATTGAGAACACGGGGGAGTTCTTCAGGAGCCAGGGCAGGCAGGTGAGGAAGCAAACACAGCTCCTTCCTTCCCTGGAGCTGGTCCCATCCAGGTGGATGTTCCCAGGGCCTCTCTGCTGGCCTGACCTCATCTGCAGGAGTCTCTGCTGCCACTGCCCAACTCCTCACGTGTGTCCTGCCTCTCCTCCCCTTTATCTGGGCTTATTGCACCAACTTTCCTCTCTTGGAGTCTCACTGGGAGAATCCCTTAGCCCTGTCCAGTCCTTCTTTCTTATTATTATACTTCACTCTGCCCTGTCCTTGGCTTTTCCAGGCTCTCCTGCACAATTTCTTTGTCAACTCTCTCCCCCCAGCAATGCCTCTGAAAGATGAGGAAGCACTTAGGGAGGTGGGGAAGGAGGATTTGTAACTTCCCAGGGCTTAGTTACTCCCTGTAGTATCTCCACATATGCCAGGAGGCCTTTGGCCATCTCCAGTTGCCGAAGGCCTTCCCTGTGTCATTCTGTCCCCTCTCACTCACTCCCAGGACTGTGCACCCCACTGTTGCTGCCCTCACTAGATACCAGTGATGATGCAGGACACTCCAGCTCCTCAGTACCCAAAACTGGAATATCAGTTCAGAACAGTTCACTGTTCTCCCCAAAATCACCTTTAGCACCAGAGAATTAAGGGAAATAAAATGATCGGGGGGGGTTAATCACTGTCTCCCAATTAATCAAGAGCCTAAAAAATATGAGCCTAAAAAATGAGAGGGGGAAATAAAATCATTCTGCCAAGCTGTGCTGTAGAAAAGCTCTAAAAGGTGTTTTTTCTGTCTCTGCTAACAAGCTGTCACGATGCTTAGAAAGCCTCATGGGTTGTCTACGGTGAGTTGAAAGTATTTGGATTTTATTGTGGTAAATTTGGTTTTGGTTTGTGTTTTGCTGTCTCTTGGAAGAGAAATCCCTCTGAAGCATTCATTTTTTCTGGGAGACAAAGGCCTGTTTTGTGACCAGCTCATCAGACAAGTTGGCAGAGTGTCTGTGGTGCTGTTTGAGGTGGTGTCGGGGCCCCGTCCAGACCCCGCTGCCAGGCTCAGGCTGACTGGATTTCCAACGCTGCATGGTGGCTGTGTCTTGTAAACCTGGAATGGAACTGTCTTTTGGTGTTACTTTAGCAAAGGTTCAGTTGTTTTGTGCAGGTCCCACTGAATTAGCTGTCACTCTCTTCCTTTCAGATCTATCTCTCCCAGACTCCTCTGTGCCCTAACCCTGTGTTCGACCTGATGCTGAAGTGCTGGAGCAGGGATATCAAAGATCGTCCCACTTTTGACATGATCCACCACTTCCTGCTAGAACAGTTGGAATCAAACATTTGACTCCAGAAAGAGAGACAAACTGTCGAGAACAGAGTGACTCTGGGGTCTCTTTGCCTGTTCCTCACAGAAGATGGTCAGGCCACCTCGCTCCCCTCCCCGACTGGGCCCTATTTAAGTTGAGACGTCCATGGCAGCTGCTCTTCTATTGGCCATGGTCTGACACACAGGACCAGAGGATCTCATTTGGTTGAAAAATCATCTCCTCTTCTGAATCATTTCCTGGGAATACTGTGAGAGGGGGTTTTATTGGATACTTCAGGCGAAAGGAATGAGTGGAACTCGGAGGGACTTGGAGCTCTCTCCTGGCTGGAAGAGAAGGCGCCGGTCGGTGAGAGCCACTCGAGAACAGGTTTCTGGAAGGAAAGACTTGAGCCTTCTAGAGCTATTCCATTAAATCAGATGGAAGTCTTGTGCACATTAGCAAGTGTTTCTGTGTGCTCTTGCTACACACAATAGCAAGAGGCCAGAAACGTCTGGAGCTGGGAAATGGTTTAACGGACTCGGGAACTGACGGAGCATTTTTAGCAACCCTGTGGGAGTGACACTGCCAGGGTCTACAGAGGATGCTGAAACAAGAGTCCAAGATGATGTTCTGTTTTCCTGTGGTTGTTAAGCACTGCTTTGGTTATATATGTGCGTTTTCCCCACACTGGATTTTTTTTTTTTCTAGAAAAAAAAAATAATTTTGAAAATGAATGTTTAAAGGGTCATGGGAAGGTCACTGCGGTAGAAGATCTTCCCCTGACCTACAAATTAAGGCTAGGTAGGGAGTTTGTATTGAGAAGTAGCTGATACTGTACTACTGTCACTATGTAGATTTATTAACCTAATGAACTTGTAGCCACAATGGACTGATGTGCAATTAATCCTGTATAATTACCCATCAATATGAGATCTCTAAGTCAATGCTGTTACGTGTGAGAGGGAACTCAGATTTGGTGAGACCGGGTGGCTGAGAGCAGAACCCTCTTTGTCACTTGTCACAGCTCACGGGGGGGACGGGAGCAGCCCCCGGGTCACCCCGGCACACGCGTGTCTGGGGGCACCCCCACGTGTGTGCCTGGTTCAGAGGTTCCTCCCCAGGTCTGCAGCAGGTTCGTGCCATCAGCTGGGCAGGGGCAGCTCGGCCAGGCTCTGTCACTGTCCCCTGGCCCTGGGAGCTGGGCTGGCACATCCCCTCAGGGGGTCTGTCCTGTATTTTGGGTGCTCCCCGTGCAGCGCGGGGCCGGTTACTCATTGAACTTGGGGGTGGTTTGTGTGTCGTGTCACAAACAGCTCATTCTCTGGAGGGTTTTAGAGGGCTCTGAAATCCATTTGGAGTGAGTTAGAGAGTTCAGTGTGTTTCTACAATAAATCCATTGTGGATTTACCAGGTGCCTGGGGAATACTCTGCTATTCCCTCTTTAATCGTTTAGCAAGATACTTAGGACCAAACCAAACATTTCATAAGCTGGGAGAAGATGAAAGCTCAGCACTTGGCTTCTTTTTTTTTTTTTTTTTTTTAATAAGCAGCATCCAGCATAGCATATATTTCCAGTAAAGATGAAAAAGATAATTTTTATCTTAGCCACAAGCACAGATGCCTGGCTGTCTGTGCTGCGAGCTCTGCGAGAGGGCACTGCTGAGAGAGGCAATGTCTGCACAGTTACAACACAGGCACGATTGTGTGCAAAGAAAAACCCTGCCTCTGAACTGGCAGATGCCAGGATGGAGCGTGGCATGGCTGTGTCTGCTCCCTGGGCACATCAAACTCCCTGGTGAAGTTCCCCAGCCCGGGAAGGGCCGTGCCTGGCGTGTCCTGTCCTGGCTGTGTGGGGTGTCCCCATCTGAGCTGCTCCTCTGAGCCCCTTTGTGGCTGAGCAGCTGGAGGGCCCAGGTCATCTCATCTTCCCTGCCCAGGCTCAGGTGACCCTCACCCCCAGTTCTTTCCCCTGTGGCTGGGGGGAGCTGCCATTCCCTGTGTGTGCCATCTCTCCAGAGCTGGGTGGTGGGAGCTGGAGTTGCTGCAGCCTGTTGGGCACCTGGCAAACCACTCAGCCATGGTATTTCTGGAGTATTTCTGTCCTGCCCCAGAATATGTACCCCAGTAACACACAGCCCTGTGCTGTGAAGTCACCAGACAGGCTCTGTGCTCCTGTTCCATCGGGATGTGCTGTTCCTCCAGTGACATGTTGACATACCAAGTTTCTCTCATATCAATAAATTCTAATGATAACCTTGACAAAAGCGAATTTCTACTTCTTTTTTTACCCAAGTATCTGCCCTGAGCACTGATATTTTGGTGTGATTGTTCAGTAGCTCTTTGGTAAGTGTGTGACCCCCAGATTTGGAGGGAGCAGCCCTTGACCATCTAAAGAAATGAGCTTTGAGGGGGTTTCTGGAAATGCTGGAAAGGTGCCAACCCAAGGCCCCTCAGGCTGGTTGAACCTGGAATGGTCTGGGGTTGTTGGTTAGTGCTGCATTTCAGCAAGCAACTTTTCATCTTAGTGTTAAGATCAGGTGCTTTAGGCTTTGTAGGTCCCTTATCAACCTGTCCACAAAAAGCTGAGCCAATTTTGAAGCTCCTTTGGGGTGCTCTGGGCCTGCCCCATCTGGGCTTTGAACATCTCCAAGGCTGGAGATGCCACCCCCTCCCCTGACCCTGTCCCAGGGCTGTTCTGTGCCCACAGAGGAGAATTTTTCCTTGTGTCTGCTGGGCCTTCCCCACGTTTTGTGCCTGTTCCCTCTTGGTCTTCCCCTGTGCATCTCTGAGAAGAGCCATCCTACCCTTGGCACACCCATCCACCCTGTGGACCTCACACTGCTGGGCAGTTTTGCCCCTGATCAGAGCTCAGGTACTTGGGCAAACTCAAATACATCTTATAAAGGCTGGAAATACCAGATCTCTGTTTAGGCACCCAAAGACAAGAGTCAAACAGCATTTTTATACCTTCAGATAAAATTTTGGGGGAATTGAGGCACCTAACAGGTGAGAACAACCCTCCAGTATTCAACAGGTTGCCCAGAGAGGTGGCAGATATCCTATCCCTGGAAGTGTTCAAGGTCAAGTTGGACAAGACTCTGAGCAACCTGATCCAGTGGAAGGTGTCTGTGCTCACTGCAGGGGGGGTTGGACTAGATGGGCTTTAAAGGTCCCTTCCGACCCAAACTATT